GAAACAATGGACGTGGATCAGAAAATAGAGGATCAGTCTAAGGAACCAATTCCATTACCACCTGGTCCATCGTCTCCAGTAAAAGAATTTAAAGAAAATACTGAACTTTCTACAAAGAAAGTAGAGAATTCTACTATTGATCAAGCAACGAGTCAACAACAGGAAACTAGTCAAACAAGTGAACCTATGGACATGACTTCAGTAGAAAACCAAAATATTCAACAGAGTACAGAGAAAATCGCTGTGAAAACTAAAACTGAAGAAAAAAAACAAGAGAATGTTTCTGAGGAAAATACCACCGAAGAAAAGAAAACAAACATTTCTGCTGAAAAGACTGCCTCCGAGGAGAAGAAAGAAGAAAATCCTTCAGAAGGAAAAAAAATAGAGAACATTTCTGAAGATAAGAAAGGAGAAAACACTTCCAAGGAAAAGAAAGAAACGTCTGCAGAAATGAAGAAGGCTGAGATTGTTTCCAAGGAAAAGAAACCAGAGGAAGCTGATCAAGAACAACAACAGAAAACGGAAGAGAAAATGGAGGTGGATAGTAGTGAGGTGAAACAGTCTCCCAAATCGAAAAAGGGAAAAAAGTCGAAAAAACAGACTGCTCCAGTGTCTGATAAACCAATACCATTGCCAGCTCCAGAGAACACTGAGACCAGTGCAAAATAGGACAACTGTGGCAGGAAAAAGTATCATGATTCCAATTTGCACCAAAGGATGCATCAATCAATCTGTTCTGTTAGTTGTCGCTAATTGTTTTGAAGAACCAGCTAAGGAGAGCCATTTGTTGGTCGTTATCTCCACTGTTTTGCGATTATGATTAGTGCCAGATCGACAGGAACGTCGTGGATCGACGTGAAAATCGCACAATCATCAGCATGGAACCTACGCCGGCCGAAAATTCTGTTTTTTTCTTTTTTTTTTGTTGTTGTTACTTTCTCGTTCACGTGGTCACAGTCAGGTTGTTGGAACCTTTGGAAGAAATAGGAATAGGAAAAGAATCAGAAAAATCGTACAACGAATGTCTAGCATGAAAAAAAAAAAAATGTCACGCTGTTGCGTTGCATTTAGATGAGGCTGTCCCGCCCCCTCCCCGGATTTTTTTCTTTTTACCGCATTGCTTTCCTAAGAAATCACACGGGAAAGAATGTAGAATATTCAAGGAATTGTATTACACATTTTGACAATTGCAATTGCACTTGCACTTCGATGCTGATTACACTTGAAAAAAAACTGAGATATTGGTCTCTACTTTTATTTTTACTTTCTTTTTTTAAATTAGTCTCTGCTTAGTATGTTAAACTCTTTTTTCTTTTATTTAGTCATTAATTGACTAGTTTAAAAATAATATGTAATCAAAGAGGCAGAAAAATAATGATAATGATTCAAAGGAAGTAAAAAGAAGTAAAAAGATATTTGAGGAAGAAGATTTTTCATATGCTTATTGTCAAAATTGACGTGTAGTCAGTATCGATAAAATTAGCGAAAGGAACTTGATATGATTATAAAAATTTTTAAACGTATAACAAAAGATGCTAATAATTATTCAAACGTATTGGGGATGTCGGACTCGAACGTTTAAGAACAAAACGCGTTCAATTCTTACGATTAGTATTACAT